TGAACAAACTGCAGTGTTAAATTGTCCAACTTAGTTTCCAGTGCAGTGACAATTGTAGCATAGCTTGATGGCAAACTACCCAGCAGTGTTACAATTTGATCCTCCTCTTCAATTACAGTACCTATTGCTCATAGCGGATCAGTTAGTTCTTTCCTTTGTTTCAAATGTTCAGTTATGCCCTCCCCTTCCTTCATTTCACATCTGAAGCATTTTTTCTTCAGAAACAACTTGTTTGCAAGAGTGTCTCTCTCAAAATGTCCTTTCAGCGTGTCCCACGCTTCTTTAGGGGTCTTACAGCTTGTTATCAGATACAATTGTGGTGTACTCACATTCAGCACCAACACTCAATTACTCATCTAACCTACATGCTCTATTGAATATGTTTGCAGGAATTTCCCTCATTATAAACTCGAAAGCAGATTAAACATAAGTCTATTATACAGAGATTTAAGGAAAAAAATCCATGACTTTTCCAAAACTTTTCGAGGCCTGGAAATGACTGTTTTAAAATTTAATGACTTTTAATTTTTTTTTATTACCATAAGAAGATGCACGCTGTTAATAACGTAAGCTGGTCCCTCCTCTATTCATGCCGGATCCGTCAACCCACTTTGTTCCGGGACCTCTCAATTTACAAATGAAGCACTGAACACAGGTAAGAGTTTCAAGGTAAATTTGACGATCAGTTTTACATCTCAATACAACATACATACAGTATATAGCATTAATTGAAAAACTGAATTAACAAATGAACTTATCAGTGTTTCAAAGTCATGCAACATCATAGCACCAGTTGTGCTTCACAACACTTGTAAGATAAGCAGTGAGAATAATTAGCTACAGCATAACAACTTATAATAATAACAATTTGTTCCGATTCTGAATCTTTTTTTAGATATCCTCTAAAGCAGGGGCGCCCAAACTCAGTCCTGGAGGGCCGGTGTCCTGCAGAGTTTAGCTCCAACTTGCCTCAACACACCTGCTGGTAAGTTTCTAGTATGCCTATAAGAGCTTGATTAGCTGGTTCAGGTGTTTAATTGGGGTTGGAGCTAAACTCTGCAGGACACCGGCCCTCCAGGACTGAGTTTGGGCACCCCTGCTCTAAAGCATTTAAGCTAATTTTACCCACCAGTGAATTGAGACGTACACTCAAAGCAGTAGTCACATCATCATCATCTATCTTCAGCATGCAGGAAATTGGTTAGCAGGCCTGTGCCAGCATCATGATGTTTGTCTTGTGGCTACGCAGCTGTGATATAATTAAACCTGGAAGACGAATATAGGATGTTGATATGACTGACAAAATGGTCAAAAATAAATGGCACGTCATTATCTCTACAGAAACGACATGCAGCCTCTAATGAATCTGCTGGAAATAAAGAGACATATTTTAAATGTTTTAACCATTCTTTATATTTAAGGCACAGTTGGTGAAATACAGTCATGGTTACATACATAGTGATAGTACGACATTGTGACTAAACAGCGGCGCAGTGACAAAAATTCATATCAAGCACATTTAAAGCCTGCTCGGCTGTCCTGTGTCAAAAAAAAATAAATCAATGTTCTCAAGTGAGAACCCAAAAAAATGGGAATGTTGCCGTGTGGAATGTGTGTAGACCTTTAATTGCTGTCCTGACGATACGACAGAAAAACCACACAGTGAGGCGTTTATGGTTGTGATGAAGGGAAGTAACAGTCTGAAACACCACCAAAGAGAGTAATGGTATCACAAGGCCGAAAAATAACATCCTTCAAGTTAAAATAACATGCTTCGTGCCTTAAAATAACAACAGGTTTCATGTCTTTTTTATTAGTGTTTAGAATGACTACGTTCATGTCTGGAATGTGAACACTGCAAGAAAAATATTAGTTACATGTGATTATTTCATTTTTTTTCTTCAGATTGATTAATCAAACGGTTCTAAAAACACCAGTGGACGGATTCACAAAATATCCTCCAGATAAAATTCTTCTTAGCTGCGGTTTTCTTCTTATTTTTAAACTTACGAAGGAATAAAGTTACGAATGTTTTGTAATTCCAAAAATGACGAACTTACAGAATAACTTTTCTTTTTTATGTTGTAAAAACAAAACTTACAAGAATAATTCAACCAAAAATGAAAATTTGACGACAATTTACTCCGGCCATCCAAGATGTAGATGAGTCAGTTTCCTCATAGGAACAGATCTGGAGAAATTTAGCATTACAACACAGCATTATTCTATTATTAAGGCACTTCTGGCCAAAATACATAAGTCCATAATCTATAATAAAGCTTCCTGCAGTGAAAACATCCATCTCCTGTTATCCTCAAACATCAAATTCCACCAACATATGATTGTTTTAGACTGTTTTTGCTTGTAAATGGTAGTTGATCTGTGCTCATTTCTCCCATTTTAGACAAGGCTGGAAGAAGAGTTATTATGGATTATGAACACATATTTTGGCCAGAAGTCACAATTTAAAGTTAAAATGCCATGATGTATTTGTTTCTTACAAACACACAGCTTTTCACTTCACAAGACATTAATTGATGGACTGGAGTGGATTAATTGTGATGTTTTTATCAGCTGTTTGGACACTCATTCTGACGGCACCCATTCACTGCAGACGATCCATTAGTGAGTTGGTGAAGTAATGCTTAATTTCTCCACATCTGCTCTGATGAAGAACAAACTCATCTACATCGTGGATGGCCTGAAGGGGAGTACATTTTCAGCAAATGTTCATTTTTGGGTGAACTAATCCTTTATGAATTTTTCAAGAATGGCCCTTAAGAACATCCTTACAAACATAACATTTATCTCGGTAAATCTGCTAAATTCTTTCTTAAAAAGATCTTCAGGAACCCGGCTCCTGGCATTTTTAAAAATCGCAGGATACAGTGAAGAACAAATGCTGTTGTCATCAGAAAGCGCAGTCAGGCCTCTGTAACAAATCTACAAATAAAGAGACAGATGTTTAAACTCAAACACATTTTTTCTTCAGGCAAACAACCGATTAAAAAAAAAAAAAAAAAAAAAAATCTCAAAAAAGGCCTCAGCTGTTTGGACACTCATTCTGACGGCACCCATTCACTGCAGACGATCCATTAGTGAGTTGGTGAAGTAATGCTTAATTTCTCCACATCTGCTCTGATGAAGAACAAACTCATCTACATCGTGGATGGCCTGAAGGGGAGTACATTTTCAGCAAATGTTCATTTTTGGGTGAACTAATCCTTTATGAATTTTTCAAGAATGGCCCTTAAGAACATCCTTACAAACATAACATTTATCTCGGTAAATCTGCTAAATTCTTTCTTAAAAAGATCTTCAGGAACCCGGCTCCTGGCATTTTTAAAAATCGCAGGATACAGTGAAGAACAGATGCTGTTGTCATCAGAAAGCGCAGTCAGGCCTCTGTAACAAATCTACAAATAAAGAGACAGATGTTTAAACTCAAACACATTTTTTCTTCAGGCAAACAACCGATTAAAAAAAAAAAAAAAAAAAATCTCTAAAAAGGCCTCTTCTGGTTAGATATATTGTGCTTATAAGGTGGAACTAGACTTTGCCCCCAGAAGCAAGTCTAGTGGTGTGTCCAAAACAACGTCTCTCATAGTTCGTCTCGAGCTGTTCTGTCCAGAGGAGACTGGAGTACATCGGAGTTTTGGGCCTCTGTGCTGATCTCAGCCTGTTCCCGGGTTTTACCCGAGTGCTTCCTGTCCCAGTCTGTGCGCACTGTCTCATTGTCCCAGACTGTGGAGGTTTCTGTGTCACTGATATACCCAGGTTCACCAGTGTAGTGTGTAGGAAACACAAGCAAGGGCTCCGCTGAAAATGCTTTCAGGTCCCTCGTCTCAAACTGATCCATGTAATCCGATCTGAAGAGGATGATGGTATTAGATGTAAAGATGAAGACAGAGTGAAATTAGACAAAGGCAAAACATAATAACATATAATACATTTTCTGAAAACGTTGCCAACTAATTGCATTTAATTATAGGTTTAAACTATAACATGTTAGTTAATTAATATGCAATTAAGTGTTAAAAAACATTACATTTCACTATGGAACCAGTTTCTGCCACTGAATATAATCAAAAGGGTAACTGTGAATTTACATAACAATTTTGACTTTTCTCAGAATTGTGAGATGTAAACAATAAAACGGAGTTTATAGCTCACAATTCTGACTTTTTCTCGCAATTGCAGGTTTATATCCTGCAATTCTGAGAGAAAAAAAGTCAGAACTGCGAGATGTAAACTTGCAACTGTCAGAAAACTAAAAAAAAATGTATTTCTCACAGTTTGTTTGTGTGTGCAAGCATATACTGTGTGTTTGACCGATATCAATTACATTCTAAAACTCACTTTAGACTATAAATCACAGGACCTTCTTGATGACAAAATACTCCAACATATATATATATATATATAAATCTATTGTGGAATAATTGATCTAGAAGTAATGTTACTTGCATATATGGGATGTGTAGATGACTTCCTCCATTTGTAGTACTTACACAGGATGCTTATTAAACATAATAGGAAGGAACTCGTCCACAGGCAACATTTTACTGAGTGGTTCTGCTTTGAGGAGCTTTTTGGCTCCTTGTAATGACATCATGTAGCCCAAGGTCCAATAGGAATAGTCCGCCTCCACCAGGTTGCGAATGTTTGGTACTGCCTTCTCAGGTCGGTCCACTTGCATCCTCTTCCTCCCAATATAACTGCAAAAACACACAACAACCAACATGAACAAAGCTCCCATCAATACATAAGCCCAAAATTGAGTGCAGCCAATGATTGTACACAAAAAGAGTTGCTCACATGAGGTCCCAGTCCAGACCCTTACTCTCCACCTCACGCATCAGATTCTGTAGGCGGCGCTTGAAGAAAATCTCAAACCGCAAATCATCTTCAAGCAGCAGCGAGGTCTTCAGGCCTCTGTCTACTATCTGTGTATTACAGCATATACACATCAAAGCTTTAAATGCTCACAAAAAACCCGAGTCTATATTCACACTCTTCAAGCTGCCTAATTAGACAGTATTTTAGGGCAGATATTAACACAAGGCACTTCCAAAACATGGTGAGTATAAGTGACTTTAAACATTAAAAAAATCTTACTGACCCCAAACATTTCAATGGTAGTTTATGTAGGCAGCAGAGAGTAAGGCATCTTGCTAGATTTGGGAACAGAACTACAAACTGGGATATGAGCCAGACCTCTTTCCAGATGTTATAGTGGGACAGGAAGCAGCCCATCTCGCCTCTCGTCAGAGGTCTGCCATGGTAGGGGTCACTGTAGCCGGGAAGCATTTGGACTCCCATAGCATGGATCTCACTGACGTTCATAGCTCTGGCATATAAAAGAAAGGCTGTGAGCAAATGTTTCGTGCTGGAAATGAATGCTGCATTTGTTTGAAGGTAACAGAAGTGAACTTACTTGCCATCAACAGCTGCTATAATCTTGCAGTCGATTTCTTGCTCTCTCAGCGCCCTCAGCATGCACTCACGACGGTCGGCCCGCCTTTTCAGGTTGATCATAAATACCTTTGGAAATACATAAAAGCACACTGAATACAACGTTACAAAAGAACCATTCCAATCAGTACAACTAACCCACACGTTTACCTCATCAAAGTCCATTTTGTCAGGTCTTTTGACAGGTTTGGGCAAGTATCTGGAGGGCTCAACTGGAGGATTTCGCACTGGAAATTAAAAGAAGTGGTTACATTCGATAAAGCATAAGTATTTTTTTGTGAAGCTGAAACGTACCATTGACCTCCAGCAAAGTATGAATAAAGCTGTCAGCTTCATCCTGCATGGTGCTGTGGGCACGAAGAGGCACTGGCAGATGCCCATAAGTCTCCTTGTTACAAATAAACATTTGTACCTCTGCAAAAACCACAGAGAATACAAATAAAAGTGTGGAATAATAGGCGCAATATCATCTTAAAGGAATGGTACATACGAAAATGTAAATTCAGTCATCATTTATACACTCATGTCATTTCAAACCTGCTTGATGTTCTTTCTTCTCTGGAACATAATAGATGATATTTTAAAAACGTTTCAGTGTTGTTTTTTTCCCATACAAAAGTCATTGAGCTTGGACTTCATTGTAAATATTCTTAAAAATATCTTCTTTTGTGCGCCACAGAAGTCAGTCAGTCATTCAGGTTTGAAGCAACAAATTATTTTGATTTAGGTTAACAGGCATGGATTGTGGGTATCTGTAGTGGCACCCACCTGCCATGCGGGCTGAAAAAGCAAAGACTATAATGTCGTCAAAGGCCCAGGTGTAGTCTGGATGTGGTGGGTGAAAAGCAAGCAGTCTGGAAGCTTCTTTCCGCAGGTCAACCAGGAAAGTCGAGTACACCATGGGAACAGCAAAGCAACCCCTACGCACTTGCTTGCGCATGGGGATGTAGGCAGGGGTTCGTTTATAGTAGCCCTGGAGAAGTTTGATCATATGTTTGTTTTTTCATATTTCTGGAGAAAGTGAAAGATCACATGCATGTATTCAGAGGAACTGTACCTGGGATGTCATTCCACACCAGAAGTTTGAGTAGGCAGCACGAGACTCCATCATTGGTGCCACAACCGTCTTGTTCTCCTTTATTAGTTTCCATAAGACATCTCGGTTGATCAGGAGATTATCACAATCAATCATCTGGAAAGATAGAAAATAATACATTTGCATGCATGCACAAACGAGCTGCCTACAAAAACAATGCTTAATCAAGACAGTCACCAAAAGGCAGATTAGGAAGTAAAATCAAATACAATCACGACTCTAAATCAGTGGTGTTCAATGTTATTGATTGTGTCCAACACAGTATTCAAGGGCCCCCCCATTAAGATATACACAAGCAATGTATTCAATTCTGCTTGTATTCAATTTCTAGCAGAAACTGGGAGCCTTGATTTCATTAATACGGATTTATTTTGTAATTTAAGAAGTTTCTAGAACTGTATGTTCTTCATGAGTGTTCACATGCAGTCATCATTTAAACTGTCACTTCTTGCCAAAATACCAGAGTTCATCCCAGTTCATCCCGTTGGGTTCTCGCACCAAAATCCACCGATCCATTTGTTTAGGACGGTTTAGGCTTGTAAACGGTACTTCATTTGTGCATATTTCTCTCCTGATTCAGACAAGACTAATTTTTTCGGAGAAAGCAATTTTATGTATAAAGGATGCAAAGTCATGGTCACCACTTTTCACTTCAAGATGTTAATTGCTGGACTGGAGTGGTGTGGATTATTGTGATGTTTTTATCAGATGTTTGGACTCTCATTCTGATGGCACCCATTCACTGCAGAGGATCCATTAGTGATGTTATTTTACATTTCTCCAAATCTGTTTCTATGAAGAAACAAACCCCTCTACATCTCGGATGGTTTGAGGCCGAGTACATTTTCAGCATTTTTGTGATTGAAATTGACACTACCCAATTACTTCAGTTATCTCAATAACAGAGATTAGATCAAATAATCGCGATAATCAGATGATTAATCAATAAATCACACCATTCAATGGCCACAAGTCTCTATTTACCCACATGGTCCTAACGAAGAGAGTGGATAGTGTGTGATAAACTCACCATGAGATAGTCTGCCCACATCTCTCGTGCAGACTCAAGTGCTGCCTGCCGCAGTTTCATGACGTAGGCGTAGCGCTCATTCGTCCAATCCTTTGGTCCTTCCTCATCATGATATTTTCTGAATGAGAAAGAGAAATGTAGTACAAGGAAATGCACAAATGAACCAGTTCCATGAAACCACAAGTGAAGAAACATGGCAAACCTTGGTTCCTCCTTTGGCCTCCACTCCACATAATGGTAGAGTTTCTGTACATTGATGAGCCAGTCTCGCAGTAGGTAAGTAGTGTTGTCAATATTGTGGTCGGTTGCCACCCTGTCAGAAACATACAAACGGTGCTCATTATGTGCACTTTACTTTCTACAGAATACAATATCTGGTGAAAACTAAAGATTACATGAGCTAACCACGAGCTTATGATTACCTGCACTCGCACGGAGTATAATCACACCATATTTAAGACGACATTTCAAGTGCATAATGTATATTTAGACCAGCAACAGGGAAACAAGTGAAGAAACACAAAAGCTCTAAATTAAACTCTACAGCAGAACTAGACTAAAAGGGTAACGGAACATGAGAAGTGAAACTGCCATGCTATCGGGTTACCACAGAGAGACCGTGGCAAAGATAAAGTAAACTGAGAGGTAGCTTCCCATTCTGCTGAAGACATAAGTTACACCACACGTCCTACTTTTCACTGGCTCCGTCTCAGAATGAACAGATGAGTCTCCCACAGCTGTGAGGCCTAAGAGTCTACAGATCCAAACAGTTAACCCATCGACTCTTTTTTACGAAGGCCATTTTCAAACAGTTATATCAGTGGTTTTCAACTTTTTTTTTTTTACTCAAAAGCCCCTTGTTTAACACAAAACATTACGATATTTCCGGTATTTCTGCTGCAATTGACAAAGCTGCTTGTTTTGAAACCTTTTTATTAACAGAAACTAGAAATATTGAAAATAAATGAACCACAATCATTTTGTGACTTTAGAAGTTTCATGAAATGCGTGTTCTTCAATTCAAAACAAGTTATTTAGGGGTAAAAATAAATATTTGTACAATTTTTATTTTCAGATGATAGTTTGATTATACTAATAGATTAATAATTATTCATTTTTAATACTTTTTAGTATAATCTTGAGGCGGACGTTTTCTGAGGCCCCCTAGTTAAATGAGTTATGTTAGGTCATGACTATGACTAAACTAGGTTAATGTACATTAATTTCCGCTTCTGCCATTGTACAGAAGTGAAACCATGCGGTTGTTATCTTAAAAGGCTATTTCTACTTAATCTAACCTTAAACTGTTATTTTTGTTGTTGTAACTTAATGTAATCATGTGAATTCAGGTCATGTAAAAAAAAAAAAAAAAAAAAAAAAACACGAATAAAACCAATTAATGGATTTAAGGGATAATCCAACCAAAAATGAAAATTGTGTTGTCATATTGGCCCTCATTTTGCATGCATTTCTTTTTTCTGCTGAACACAAAGGAAGGTATTTTGAAAATTTTGGTAACCAAACAGTTTTGGTTCCCATTGACTTCTATTGTATATTTTGGCCATGCTGTTTGGTTACCTACATTCTTTAAAAACCTTCTTTTGTGTTTCACACAAGTTGTACAGGACAGGGAGAGAAAAATGTCAATTTAATTTTTTTGCTTTTTTTTTTAATATACAGTAAGAATAAAAAAAAAATAAGTAAAGGGAAGAGAGGGGAAATGGGTTCACCAAATGACACGAGCCAGATTCAGACCTGTGATGTCAACGTGTTGGAGCATGTGCACTAACCTCTAGACCACAGCTCCATCACCTGACAGCTCTTTATTAACAAAAAAGCTTAAGCCGCATGTTGTCTGTGAGACCCATATGCTACCACATAAAAATACACATTTACACATACAGAAAACAAATAAATCCGTACAAGTAAATGATAATGTACAATCAGCTAATCATTGTCCATCTGCCTGTACATTATTACACCGAAATACTCGCCAGATAAATTCATTCATGGATAAAAAAAAATATTGGGCGAGTGGTCATTATTCTGAAACATTGAACTATTAAACAAATAGTCTAAATGGAGTCTAACCAATCAGAACCAAGTATTCCAGAAAAACGTGTAATAATTTATTTATGTTTTAATACAGTGATCAATAACATTTCACAGCATTTCTGTTTTGCCGTGTTCACTCCTATTCCCTTGTCATTATATTACAATTCAATCTGGGGCACGACTACGGCGAGTTTCAGAGCGTTCTTGGTAAACGACACCTTTACAACAGAGCTCTTCATTCACTGGTTAGGACAATGGCAACTTTAAAGGAACATTTCAAGTAAAGCTGGCAGAGATGAGCAGGACACAGCGAGTATGGAGAAGCCCCTCCCATCCAAGTTTTTTTTCCTTCTTAAATTTACCCTCCAGAGCATTGAGTTGCTGGCAGACAGATGTTCACTTCACAGACACCAAGAATGAAAACCTAGTCCAAAAAGCAATTGAAAGTAGTTCCACGAGTAACAAATGTGACCCTGGACCACAAGACCAGTTATAAGGGTCAATTTTTTTGAAATCATCTGAAAGCTGAATAAATAAGCTTCTTTTTTTTATTATTTTTATTTTTAGGATTGGACAATATTTGCAGAGATACAACTATTTGAAAATCTGGAATCTGAGGGGGCAAAACAATTCAAATATCGAGAAAATCACCTTTAAAGTTGTCCAAATTAAGTTCTTACCAATGTATATTACGTTTCAATATTTACAGTAGGAAATTTACAAAATATCTTCATGGAACATGATAATTACTTCATATCCTAATGATTTTTGGCATAAAAGAAAAATCGATAATTTTGACCCATACAATGTATTGTTGGCTATTGCTACAAATATAACCGTGCTACTGATGACTGCTTTTGTGCTCCAGCGTCACATATGGGATACTAGTGTCTGGTAAAAAGACAGGGGTAGGCCTATCTAATAATTAAGTACTAGTACAGCTCAAGTAGATCCTATTAAATACTAGGATAGTTACTTGTAACATAGCAGTAAGTCCTAGTACATATGAATGAATAGTTAAAAGCAACAACTGGGGGAAAAAACACTACTCGGATGTTAAGTTTGCTACTATTAACAATAAAGGAAATGTTGGGGAAATTGACTAGTAGTCACTTGGTATGTCATGGATAAGTAAGTACTAACGTTAGTCACTGTTGGAAAACTTAGAATTAATGAAGAATTCGTACGATTACCATGCGCATACATACTACAGGCATTATGAGATTCTAGCATTATGACAACAGTAACACAAGTCTTGACTGAGCAGCTGCACGCCGTGTGTCTCTCTCTCTCTCTCTCTCACACACACACACTCTCTCTTGTAAGATGAAAACTGTGGAAACCGTTTATGTGGCATTATCACGTTAAAACATACGACTAGCTGAAGTATATGAATAGCAGTCGAATCTGTATATATCTGTAAAAAAAAAAAAAAGTTTGTGGAAATATTGAGAGATGCTGTCCACTCTCTCCTCTTTTCAGACTCGGTTAGCGTGCCTCATGGAAACACTTGTGCAGACAGCTGTGCTAGAGATGGGCACGCTCGTGGATGTGCAGTGTGAGGTGCTGTTGTCGGAGGTCAGCCGCAGCCGCAGTGAAAGCAGCGCTCTGGGGAAGAGAGAGACTGAGGCTGATGGAGGTCCAGCCGTGGACAAACACCGACAGAGACTTTCACATGTGCCAAGAGGTACTTCCACTTTTGGGTATTTATTTAGCATGGAATTGCATATACTTTATTAGACAAATATATGCTACCAAATGATTACTTAACGTAATATATATATATATATATATATATTACGTTAAGTAACCATTTGGTAGCATATATTTGTCTAATATATATATATATATATATAGTATATATATGCAGCCTCTGCTATGCAGTCATATAACATGTTCACCAAGGCTGCCTTTATTTAATCAAAATTACAGTAAAAGCAGTAAAAAAAATTGTGAAATGTTAGCTACAATTTAGAATGACTGTTTTCTGTTTGAATATATTTTAAAATGTAGTTTATTCCCGTGACGCAAAGCTGAATTTTCAGCATCATTACTCCAGTCTGCAGTATCACATGATCTTTCAGAAATCATTCTGATATGCTGATTTGATGCTCAAGAAACATGTATTATTATTAGCCATGTTGAAAACTGTTGTGCTGCTTCATATTTTTGTGGAAACTGCGATACATTCAAAGGTTTGGGTTAAGAAAGTTTTTTTTTTTTTTAAAGAAATGTATACTTTAACTCAGTAAGGATGCATTAAATTGTTCAAAAGTGATAGAGAAGATATTTATGGTGTAAAAAGAATAAATAAATGCTGTTCTTTTGAACTTTAATAATAAGAAATATTTCTTAAGCATCAAATCAGCTTATTAGAATGATTTCTGAAGGATTGTGTGACACCGAAGACTGGAGTAATGATGCTGAAAATATATCACAGGAATAAATAACATTTTATAATATATTGAAATAGAAAACAGTTACTTTAAATTAAGAATTTTTCACAATATTACAGTTTTTTTTATTTTTTGCTCAAATAAATGCAGCCTTGAGCATAAGAGGCTTAAAAATGTTAAAACATATCAATTATTCCAAACTTTTGACCACTAGTGCATAACCCTTTTATTTTTATTGTATTAGTGAAGTGGCCAAGAAGAGATGCACTGTCATTTGAACAGGTGTAGAGGCCCAAGAAAAGACGTCCCAACAGTAATTCAGCAAGACCAAGTAAGTTTTCTTCTTTATGTAAATATCCATACTGAATGAATGAATGAGAGCTGTAGAAAACGTAATGTTTCTGTTTCATACAAATATAAGATATAATGTGATGTCACAATGTCAAAGGACAGTCCACAGCAGAAGTGTGAGGTAAACCAGCCAATTAGTATGGTAAAGCAGGAGCAACAGGAAGTAGATGTTTGGATTGGTCAAGACAACAGTGAAGCAGGTAACTAACTGTTGAATAATGGTGGATCATTTTAATTGCCAGTGTTTCTAAATAATTTATAACTTCCACTTACATTACTCTCACTTAACCTCAGGAACCCAGTGTGGTGAAGCTGAGAGCCTGTCACCCATCAAGGATGTTCTCAAAACATTGTGTTGGCAGAGGAAGTAGAGAAAACGCAGCCGCAAGGGTCCCATCTAAAGCAGAAAGACCAGAAGTGAACAGAAACTCCTCACCCGGAACAATCATGGTGAACCAAACATGTCTTTCAGTCACGCACCAGTGCATCAAACTCCACAAGAACATCCAGTGCCAACACTATTTCAGGAGACAAGTGTTTTGTTTGCTCCTATTGTTCGAAGAGGTTCAGGTGCTTTAGTCAACTTACGATACATCAGCGGAGTCACACAGGTGAGAAGCCATATAGGTGCACGCTCTGTGGAAAGAGGTAC